TTTGGTTTAAAAAAAAAAAGAAGGCGAAACAATTTCCTTTCATCCTTTGGGGAGTTATGAAAAAAAAAAAACTCTTTGAGGAGTTAAGCATCAAATGTAAGGGGAAGCTCACCTCATCCGCTATCACCTGCATCCAATTCCATCTTGCCTGATATGGACCAACTCCACAAAGCCCAGCCCACCATCGCGCAACCCACACTCGCGAGGCCTGCTAACCACATAAAATGAGCCCGCTAAGCTAGGCCCAATCCGCCTCACTATACCAGTCCGCTCTAGACCTTTCACAGTTTGGACAATGCGAGCCAACCCCTGCTGTCCACCGCGCGACAGAATAAAAGTCGCAGTCCGCGCCACGCTCTCCCAATTCCCGCGCCACACTTGGCAAAATTCAAAAGAAGACACTTGCGCGGTGATTCTTACCCGCGCCACTGCTCCAACCAGCACGAAAGAACTTGTTCATCAAGAGAAGAGAAACATATTTAACCGAAAAGAGAAAGTGAACAGCTCGCCAACCGTCGCTGAAATGACGATCACCTGCCACACGACCTCGCTGGACCGCGCGGGACTCCTTCGCCGCGCCACCTATCGCCATCTCAATTCCGCCGCGAGCTCTGCTCCGCCAATGCCACCTATCTCCGTCGAAGTGGCCGTCTCCTGAGTCGTCCCCTTGAGCGCACTACACTTCTCCGATGCCAAATGTCGCCGCTGCCGATACCCCCTAGATGATGGTCCAGGTTGGGAAAGACGAACGCAGGAGAACAAGAGCTCTCGACGAACACAACAATAGGAGAGGATGGCGCTCGTTACCAACGAAACAACAAGATCAAGCTTCCTTGATTATAAAATTCTAGATCTGGAAATTTCTCAAGTCATCATGTCCTACCCTTCAAATTCCAGATCTGGACCATCATTCACGCTCTGCAAAATTGGGTTCCTGCCCGCCGAAGTCGCCGCGCCATTTTCTCCGCCATTACCACCTCTCATCAACGGTAGCGCCAAAAAAAAAGGAAAAAAAAACCGTCATCGCGTATCCCAAGGCCGCACCGTGCGCATCCTATCCCCGCCCCTGACTATTCTTACCGGCGGCAGTCGTAATTTAGAAAAGAAAATAAATGGAAATAGATGCGCTCAGGCCTGGATCAGCCTCATGCCCACATCCCGCAGCAGATTCCCCGCGTTAGACTCGCACCGACCCGGCCCGCCCCCATCCAGGCCGCCCAAACTCGAGGCCCGCCGCTCCATGGGCTCCGTTCACCAGTGCAGGCCCGAAACATTCAGCATCAACTAGACCCAATCCGCTTCAAGACACATGCATTCTATTTTAAAAAAACAATAGAGAGATGACTGCTTCCGCCGCGATTTGAACCCGCACCACTGCATCGCCCTTCAACTACGCTGACCAGTATGCCACAAGGACAACTAGCCGGATCAAATCGCGGCATCTTATTTATCAAGAAAGCAACACGCTTCCAACTAGCAAGCATCCTTCTTTCAGCCCGCTCTCATGCCACTTGTGGGATCCGCCCCACTCTGACTCGCTGGCGCTCTTCATGCTCCTCCGCGTCAATCTACCCGCCAAGCCTGCTATCGGACTCGCGGCCCAACGTCACGCCACCAATTCCGCACCGTCTCGAGCTTTGCTTCACGGCCCGCACCACTACATCGCCCTTCAACTACGCTGACCAGTACGCCACAAGGACAACTTGCCAGATCAAATCGCGGCATCTTATTTATCAAGAAAGCAACACTAGCCCGCACAACTAGCCCACGCGTCAATCTACCCGCCAAGCCTGCTATCGGACTCTCGGCCCAACGTCACGCCACCAATTCCGCACCGTCTCGAGCTTTGCTTCACGGCCCGCACCACTACATCGCCACATCGCCCTTCAACTACGCTGACCAGTTCGCCACAAGGACAACTTGCCAGATCAAATCGCGGCATCTTATTTATCAAGAAAGCAACACTAGCCCGCACAACTAGCCCACGCGGATCGGCCCCAAACTCGCGTCCCTCGGCCCGCTCCATTCACATGCTGCAGCCCCGCCAAGCCCAACAGGCGTTGAACTCTTCAAAAATATTATCAACACCGCCAGGAATTGAACTCGCGTCACTCCTCAGCCAATCAAGTAATATTACCAGTAGACTACATACGCGTCTTATGAACCTTAGGCGCAGCACTCTTATTTTAACAACTCTTCGTGCCGCTTCGCCAACATAAAGCTAAGTACTTTATCCCTCTATCATTATTAAATTTTTAAATATTTTACTTTCCTAAGCGTTAATGGCGCTAATGGGGGGCAAGACGTACCCAACAACGTGGGAGATGAGAAACTCACCAAGCTCTCGACGCCTTGAAGACTCCAAACTGAGGGTTAAAAACCCCGACGAGGAGAGGGCACATTGCCTCGGTGAAGCTACAAATAAGTCTCAACGAAGGACACAAATAAGACTTCAATAAGAGCATCGAAGATCTACAAATAAGTCTCAACGAAGCACACAAGTAAGACTTCAATAAGAGCATCGAAGAAGCTACAAATAAGTCTCAAGCACACAAGTAAGACTTCAATAAGAGCATCGAAGAAGCTACAAATAAGTCTCAACGAAGCACACAAATAAGACTTCAATAAGAGCATCGAAGATCTACAAATAAGTCTCAACGAAACACACAAATAAGACTTCAATAAGAGCATCGAAGATCTACAAATAAGTCTCAACGAAGCACACAAGTAAGACTTCAATAAGAGCATCGAAGAAGCTACAAATAAGTCTCAACGAAGCACACAAATAAGACTTCAATAAGAGAATCGAAGATCTACAAATAAGTCTCAACGAAGCACACAAATAAGACTTCAATAAGAGCAACGGTGAATCTACAATATGAGAGTGTTCAACTACCTCTATCTCCAATAAAGGCCACTAAACGTGCGCGGTAAGCCCGTAACGTAATCGTACGGCTGTCACAAGCGCACAAATGAAAGAGTACACACTTGTGCGTGTGTGTGAAGAACTCCAATAGAAGAGCGCTCAACGACTTAATGAAACACACCAACTGGGGGGCATGACGCAGAAAGCTGGCACCGCGTCAGCCAAACGCGCCACCAGCTGGGGGGCAACTGGGGGTACATAAGGCTCCATCCAAAATTACCGACAAAGATTTAAAAAAATAATAATAAATAAATAAATAATAAGCTAGTGATGAGTTAAAACTCACCACCAGCTTGCGGGTAATTGTTGGGGGTGTTACTAAGATACTCCGCGCACAGACTAGGTGGTAGGGCGCACAATCGGCGATGCCCAACGCTCGATACCCGCTACAGGTATATAAGGGTTTGAAGCCCTCCAAAGGAGGGGACTTCTTCTCTCTCCTCACTTTCCACTTTCCACTATCTCTTTACACTTTATCTCTCTACCTTGTTCTCTCAACTTTCGCCTGAAACATGAACTAACTTAATCGTCGGAGCTTAATCCGGGGGGCATCCCCGACTCTTTCACAGGTTTCTTCCCTCCCGACGAGATCAGACGAACGGATCGTGAGTCAACCCCACACCAACAAATATTATTGTTCATACCTTGAGCTAGATGGTACAAACAGTTTGGATTAAGCGCTCATTCCTCAACCAGTGTTAATCGATCTGGACATTAGTATTTATTTCATTGGTTCTCCTTAAGTCGTGGTAACTTCAATAAATCTTAAGGATTATAAATTCCTATAAAAAGTTGCATTTGAAAAGTCAACGATAGACTATTTTATACTGAAATCGTGATTCAACAATTCCAATATCACTAATCGATTTAATCTTCGGTAGCAAATTTTTTTGGTTGAAGCATTGACATTGTACGATTTTTCTATGCTTGCTAAATCTCGATGTCAAGAGAACATAATGTTGAGTTACCTTGCCTTACTGATTTAAGATAGCACACATTTAAGAAGGTTGTGTATGTAACTAGTGACGTAGCTAAGATTTCATCTTAGATGGGTCCACTTTAGAAGACATATACACATAATTAAATAGTTTGGCTAACTTTGCTAATCATTCATGATATAATATTATATTGGAAAATTTTGATAAATTAAAATATATTAGTAGCCGAAACTATCAAGAATATTACTCAATAACATATCGTATACTATTTACTAGCACGCCCCCTCATAAAAAGTCAGCTTATACATAATTGAAGTTTGCACAAATCTGAATACCATGTGCTTAAGAAATGAGATCGCCAAGATTTGTACACAATATTTTTCTATCAACTATTCGCACTTGCATGTTCTCTAATCTTCGGTATCAATTAATTATCGTATCTAATTTAACCATTTTCTTTCCTAATCAGGCTGTCTTTTCTATACAATTTGATTGTCAAAAAATAAGAAAATATTGAACTAAAGGGTACTATGAAAATGATGTAATACGGGCTCGAAAAACTACCCAAAAGTCAGCTAAAAGCCGCTGCGTAGCGCGGCTTTGCTATCCTAGTATATACCTGTCTGTGTCCACGTTCTAATTAACATTTCAACGCATGCCAACTTAACACTTTGGCTATATCCATCTTCCAACAGAATCATCCGTACAAGCGTCCAACAACACCTACCATTTGACCCCCACCGTGGATTCTGTCCCCATTCCCAAGCCACCTTTCCCTAAGCCTCTGCGGACGCAACGCTTGGACTGTAATGCTGTTGCCGACCTGTTGTTCTTCCTCCTACGACCAGAATGCTCAACCAAAAGTTGGCCTTCTTCTGCTCCTTCTGTTGCTTCAGCAAGCAAACAAACCAATCCACCACAACATGCATGAGATGGGAGACAAAATATTAGAAGCCATAGCACAACATGCATGGCTAACTTCACACAGGGGTTTAAGTTTAGCTTGAGGAGAGTACGGAAATAAAAACAAAATTCTCAACAAATTAGAAGCAACACATACTTAATAGGTGTTCAGATGATCAAGCGAGGAAGTACGTTAGCATGTAGGCAGGAACACAATGGCAGAGAAGAGAAGCTTAGGAAGAAAAAAAGGTAAATTGGAAGTAATTACCAGTAGTTGAGGAAAGTGTTGTTGCAGTGCTGTTCTGAACCCAACAACGGTAGCTTCCATCGTACATACCTTGCAATTCATCGTACCTGGGAATCGGTGTAGGCCAACAAGAGACTGTAGGCTGCAACGCTATCCAATCCGGTTCGTAACGAAATGGTGCTACAGAAGAAAACAGCTCTAGCTCTCCCGTCCCCGTCCTCAAATTGCAGGAGTAGATACGACCATCAAAAGGATCTGTGAATGTAAGGAAGACAATTTCCGGCTGCTCCGGATGTAGACAAAGCACGCAGCAGGTAAAAAGTACACACAGACCCAATGGTCTCAACACCATTTCATATAGTGGACGCCAATAATGTCCGGTCCAATGCTCATCATCTTCTTCCAGCCTCCAAACACTCAAGGCATCCCTTGAACCATGACGTAGACCTTCAACTTCGAATACAACTATGTGCAGAGCACCTTGTGAGACCGCAAGAGTGGCACCTCCACGCCCCATTGCGGACGACAATGCAGGAGATACAATCATAGGTTGGAGAGGTCTATCAAGGTGGAAAGGGTTACATGCAAACAGGATTTCGCGGAAGGAACTGAATTCGAAAGTCAACCAAAACAACTCCCCGTTACACGAGACTGCATTGGTCGTTGTACTGATCGTGCTATCGTCAAATCTTATCTGCGACCATTTCCTAGACTCGGAACAAAACACATGCAGTACTGTAGAGCCGCAAACTTGAAGATTACGCACCACGCGGAAAACATACTCGGAATAAATTGCTAGAGGTTTTGATTCTTCGCCTAGCTGCTGCACAAGACTATAATTACTACGGGACAGACAGACTAATGCTGCGTAAGATTCACCATACCCCGGATCTGACCTTTCAGGCGCCAAAGGAAGGGCGATCCACTGCTTCGTAAACGGATTGCAGACCAAGTAGGATCGCCGCAATTCGGTTCTGTCGTGCTCGAGAAATCCGCATAAAAGCAAGTCCTTGAAACAATCCATAACTCTGAATCCCGGTCGAGCTTTGTCAGGCACGGGAAGAAAGCTGAGGATCGACTCGGGGTCGCGTGCGGAAAGGAACAGAGATGCAGCTGGTTGGTGCCTGCTCTGGTGATGGAAAATAAAGCGGCGATTGAAGCTGGGATCGGAGATGAGGGATCTCCACGGCTTGCACACGGCTTTGCAGCGGCAGGAGGATCTAGGATTGGGGAGGCGAATCAAAATCTCGACGAGGAGATCGTCTCCCAGTTTGCTGAGCCGATTCAGGTGAGGAGGAAGGTTTTGCTCTGGACAGATCGGGCGCCTTTTTCCGGCGTTGAAAGGAAGAGGGAGCGGCTCCAAACTGCAATTGTCCGTCATGTTCACGGCCGGATTCAAGGAAGACGCAGTCAAGAAGACGCGCCGCCTGAGGAAACAGTCGGGCGGAGTTATGTGGATGCAAGGAGATGTGAAATTTAGGGCTGGAGAAGTGCGGGAAATGCTGCAAGAAAGTAATGGGCCAAGCTTTTGAACTCGAAGATCGGGCTTTCCTGAATCTGTCTGTTGGTCCCAGACACAGAGCCGATTGAAATGGGTCAGAGCCCAAAGCAAGGGTTTTTTTCCAAGTACACATGTAGAAAATTTCCAAAATATAAATATTCTCAATTTACACATGTTTGGGCTTTACTGTGGTCATTAGAAAGCGGTGAACTGCTTCATTGCGGCCGTCAAAAGCGGTGAATGCTACAATCGGATAACTGAGCGGAAAGTTATGTTTGTTCGAAGTTTTGGCCTAGGTTAAGCGTTCACCGCTTCTAACGGCTGCAATGAAGCAGTTCACCGCTTCTGACGACCGCGATGAAGTCCAAACATGTGTAGATTGGGAATTTCATAAAGCGTGTGTATTTTGAGAAGTTTCTATAAAACGTGTGTACTTTGGGGAAAATCCCCAAAGCGATGTGTTGGGGATTGGTTTTTCTATTTTCTATTTTGGTTGTTCAAAATTTTGATTTTGATAAGGGTAAAGATTAATTATTAACCAAATCTTTTCCGTATTTTTTTATTAGTCAAATCTACTGAATTACTGGTGATCTACTAAACTAAGAAAACCCTAAAGTTTTCACTAAGTTCAATAATATGGGTTTTTTGGTATCGTATGGCTTCTTTTCACTAAGTTTAATCATCTGGAATTACCAATGCTCATTGCTCAGTCGAAGGAGGAGATTTTTGTAATGGAAATGAAACTATTCTGCTATTATAAATGACCATCGTGGCCTTTAATTTCGCCAAACTAGGGTGGATTTGTAGATCTGAAATTTACTGTGATATGGTGATGTCTATTCTTTCTACTCTTACGATGCAAACCAATTTCATAAAAAATAAGATAATTGTTTACACCTAAAATACTTTTGTCGGAATTCAATGCCGCATTAAGTCTCGGCGTTTAATTCAGTGTGATAAAAAACGACACTGTTTGGAGTCAAGCAATGTCGTGAAGAGGTAAAACGGTGCCGCGAATCTCAAAGCTCAACTGCATCGCGAGACTAGGAAACTGTGTTGTTTATCTAAAAATGATACCGCGTGAAGTATCAACAACGCCGTGGTATTGGTAAGCGATGTTGTTTAGCTAAAATCAATATCGTAGTGGGTAAGAGCTTGGTCCAAGGAGAGCTTGGTCCAAGGGCAGCAAGTCCAACGCGAATTCAAAATCCCCATAATACCAAGAAAGACATTGTTTAATTGAAAACAATGTCGCAATGGCCAAGTTTTCAGAATGGCCGGTTTAATTAATTAATATTTTCAATGATTATTTTGGATGGTGTCGTTTAGTTGAAAACGACGCCGCGAGAAGTATCAACAACACCGTGGATTAGAAAACGACAGTGTTTAATATAAAACAATGTCGCGACTTTATAATGTTGGTGTTGGGGTTGGAAAATGAGTGCTCTTTATTACTTATCGAAGAAGGAGATGATTTGGCCAAGATCGTATCAGGCCTCGACAATGTTTCTAGGAAGAATGTAGCGTTGCAGGGTTGTTTATTTGAATTTTGACACCTATGTACGTCGGCAAAGCAAGAAACAACCGTGTTTAGTGAAAACATTGTCACGAGAAATTGCAGCCTAACGATGTCGAGGTAGTAGAAAACCATGTTGTTTTGTGGAGAACAATGTCGTGAGACAAGCCTAACATGATCGGCTGCGTCACAAAGTTCCAACGACACCGCGATATTTGAAACGATATTGTTTGGTTGAAAACAACATCGGGCGGTGTTGATTTGATCGGTGCAACTCTTACGGTCGTCTTGATTTCAACATTGATCAAACGGTACCGTAAGAGTTTCCACTGGAAAACAATCAAATCAACATCGTCGTTTGGCACACCGGCGATGGTATTTGGTTTCTCGTGAAACATTAATTAAAAACAAATCCAGCTCTTTAATCATCACTACTATCGCTAGTGACCTACTAAACTAAGACAACCCTAAAGTGAACTTGTGGGTTTTCGTTGGATCTAGATCTAGACCCATGGTCCATGGACTTCTACACACACAAAAAAAAAAAAAAAACGTTTTGGCTTGTTTCTATAGAAATTTGTCAACTTGGTAGTGTTCTACACTATGTTTGGTTAGGAGCGGTAAGGGGAGGGGTGCAAGCTGTAAAGGTAAACACAAGTTCCAAGAACTTTATTCCTATTCGGTTATTTTGCAAATAGTAGAGGGTGCAAATTGTAAGGGCCTCCACTTAACTCTCCTCGAATTTACACCCACTACCTAGTTGCCAAACATAGCGTTAATGATTAGGTTTGGTTATAGTTTTTTTTAGCTCTGTTTTGGTGAGTTCTATTCTGTTGACTTTATGATTATTGTTTGATGGATATGAAATTTCTGTGTGTTTATGGTGTTTAGTATTAGCTATGTTTCTTGACAATAGGGGAATGAAAATATATCATAAGTGATAGATCTATAAGTGTAAGTCGATTGAACTACTTTTATAAAGCAAATAAACTTAATAGGGATCATCATATGACATCATTATTTTTTGGAAAGCGAGTAAATAAACTTAAACGAAATGTGACTATGTAGTGTATAGTGCATAAAAAATACGAGTAGTTTACATATTGTAATGATAATGCTATGCTCTTAAGGTAGATTGCAAGGCAGGTTAATGAGTTCTTAAATATAAACCACTTCAGTAGGAGTGAGTAAGCATATTAGCTATTATTACAGTATGGTAATAAGGAAGCTTGAACAAAATGAAATGCTATTGAGAAAAAGGGAACCGAGTTACAAAAGCCAACCTGGTTGGATCCTTAGGCCAAAGCTACTTCTTACAAATCTCTGCACTCCCACTTTCTGCTTCTTACAAGTATCTAGACTGAACCTGGTTGGATCCTTATGCGAATGAAATGCCCTCTATCTGCTTCTTACATATCTATGAACTGAACTTTGTCTAAAATAAAGAGTGAAAAGAAAGAAGAAAGTGTCTATGCTTAGATGGGGATTTCTAATTCTATAAGGGTGTGTTTGGATAGAATGATTTGGATTTGGTATTTGTGATTTGGATTTCCAAATATTAAATCATGTGTTTGGATATTATTACAATTGGTATTTGGATTTATGCCAAATTCACGGGGTGATTTCCAAATACATGTTTAGTACATTACTTGTCAATTTCAAATACATTTGAACAACTAGTGATTAGAAATACCTACTAACAAAAGAGTGGACCTATTTGTAAAATATTAAAAGTTTAGGTACTATAGTGCGAGGCAAAACATCTAAAGGTAACAAAAAATAATTTTACCATCAAAATTTCAGAACTTTTTTGTAAAAATTTAAAAGTTTAGGTACTAAATTGAAAGGAAAAAAATTTGGGTACCAAACTGTAATTTACCAAAATTTGCAGTAAATGACCAGAAAATTCAAAATTAAAATAACAAATTATAAAATTTAAAATATAAACAAATTACAAATGAGTATCCAAACGACGAATTTGAATTACATGCATTTCAAATGCTAGTACGTCAAATACATCCATCTCAAATGCATGTATTTCAAATACCTTATATTTGAAATACACCTATCGAAACGCACCTTAATGGCCCGTTCACTTGTCATTTCATTTTCTGTAGCTGCCACAACAGAAATCATCTGTAAATGAAAATCAAGCTCTTGTTTTCTGAAAAACAAAACCTGCAGAAAACTTGTTTAGCTGAAATTTTGGTGAGTTCTGAAACTGAATCCTAAAAATGAAAACCGTTTTAGTTGATTTATTTTGTTTTCCGATACTTTATTAGCCCAATTTTTTCCTTCAGTATCACATATTATAAGTTTTTTTAAATTTTTTTGCTAATGGCAATCTAACCTTCAAAACCCCAAAATTACATCAACAATGTCCACAAATCTGGCACCAGTAGGGATGGCTCACGATTGCTAATGACAAACATGCCCAATATCTCAATCGAATCATTCAATTAATATAGAAATTTATATTCCTACTTATCAATCTCATAAACAATGACAAGTTGAACCCCATCGTTGAATGTTTTAGGGAGAATTAGTTATAAAAATATTTCCAAAAGTACTCATGTTTCTTTATCACCGCAATTGTGCCAGTGAATATAATCACTGCTTTGATGAATAACGGTGAAAACAATTTGAACTATCACCCCCATCTCCAGAAACAGTGAGTTGTTCACCATTTTGGACAATTGTAGTGAACGCATCACTGCAGTGTGGAAGATGGTGAGGCGTCAGATATGGGAAGAAAACAATAATCCACGCCTCACCGTATCGGACGGCTACGGTGAAACGCGGGGGACGCGGATTGATGACGTGGACGGGCAGTGCATTCATTGTTGTAGACGAATGCGGTGAATTGACTGTCGTCCATGTCATCAATCCGCGCCCGCCCACCCCTTCACCGCAATCATAGGATGCAGTAAGGCGCGGATTCACTACCTTAAATAGAGAATAAATTTAAGATATCATAACTACGAGAATAAATATCTTTCTGTTACTATTTTTTGTCTAATGAATAGTTTCTTCCCATTAGTGTAGGTAGAACAGTATTAAATAGAACATGTATCAAATCTGGTAAACTAGGAATATCTAACCCTAAAGGGGGACAAAATAATAGAAGACAACTGTATATGAATATGATTAGTCAATTGAAGTGACTCAATTCGTTCAATAACACTGTACACATCATGGAAAAGCAGACCCTAATTAATTAACCCTTGCCTTTTCAATAACATCCTGCTTTAATGTGTAGATAATGATAATCGTGGGTACGAACACATTCGCCGTCATGATAGAATGGACACTCTCCGCCGTACTCAACAACCCTAACGTCCTCGACAAGGAAAGAATCGAGGTGCACGCCATTGTCGGGCATAATCGACTGGTCGACGACTGCGACTATCACAACCTTCCTTATATCCACAGCATCATTACAGAAATGCTTCGCTTGTACCCGGTGACACCATTGTTGGTGCCGCATCAGTCGTCGGAAGATTGCATCGTCGGCGGCTACCACATCCCGAAAGGTACAATGTTGATGGTCAACGCGTGGGCTATTCACCGGGATCCTACAATATGGGAAGACCCGGGTAGTTTCCGGCCGGAAAGACATGGAAATGGGGAGGTCGGCGGCCAGGCGTACGGGTTTTTGCCGTTTGGTATGGGAAGAAGGTCGTGCCCCGGTTCCGGTCTGGCGAATAAGGTGATGTGCTTGGTTTTGGGTTCGTTGATTCAGTGCTTTGAGTGGGAACGGAAAGGTGAAGGGAGAGGGATAACTATGCTCAAAGCGACGCCTTTGGTGGCGATGTGTAGAGCTAGAGAGTGTATGAATGCTGTTTTCTTGACAATGTAGCAAATAATTAATAAATGCATAATGATGAATTGAGATTTTAGGTTAATTAGTATTAATAATAAATGCATAATAATGACAATGTAGCTATTCAAGAATTTCGCAATGTTTAAAAGCATTGCTACTTTAGTTTTTTCCTTTATGGTACAACTTCGGATCATACCTATACTAATTTTTAAAATCTTATATTGTAAAAACCAAATTGTACCCTTATTTGTTTTCCTTGGATTTGTCCTTATAGCTCTCAACAAACTCGACCCTCGTTCCACTACGTGCATCTTGCTAGGCTACTCCCATCAACAAAGTGCTTACCAAGTGTTTGACTCAGCCTCTCAACGTGTCTTTTTTCTCGACATGTTCCTTTTGTTGAATACGATTTCCATAGCATACCTTCCTCAGTCAACAACTCACCCTCCCTCCTCCACCTCGTCGGTGGCCTCCTGTATAGCAGTTGTGTCATGGATTCCACTCCCACCAGCACTAGACGTGTCATCGGCTCTGCCCCATTCTCACTCCCTGTTGTAGGTCGCTTTCCCGGAAAGTATCTCTCCAGCTCCAGCTACGTCACCACGGGCTGCTGTCCCAGCAGCCTGACCAGCTACACATGCCAAGGTATGCAAAGTACCTCAAAGGATTCTCACCAAGGCGTCCAGAGCCAAATCTCAAGTTACTGACACTAATTGAGTTCAAGGTCACTAAGACCGTGAACAGGAGATGTTGCTGTGAACCCGTGCAAGTGAAGCGGTGCGTTTCGACGCTCATCTTGAGTTCACGCACGCATTTTAAAGTTCACATCCGTCAACTGACCACGATCCCTGTTTAAATGAAGAGCTGAAAGGAAGTGAGAGGGAGAGCCCATTTGAGTGAGAAAGCCGTCTTCAGATTTTAGAGAGAGAAAGACGAACCAAGGGAGAAGGAGGCTAGGGTTTTGCTCCAAGAGTGGATTTGGGAAGATTCTCCCCAAGAAAAGGTGAGCACAAGTGCCAAGATGTTTGGAAACCTCCTTAATGATGGTTTCTACCTCTTCCCCTTGTCTTTCTCCCATTTCTAGCATGGAGTAGATTTTTTTTTCACTTGGGTGTTGTGAAACCCTAACTATCATGTAGTTTTCTGTTATGTGAATTGAATGATTGTTTATGGGTGTTGTTTAATTCAATTATTGAGGTATTATGCATGTTGATTGTGCATGTTTGTGCTTAGCAATCTAAGAATTGTGCATGTTGGTGCTTAGCAATCTAAGGATTATGCATGCTTGAGCTTAGCAATCTAAGGGTTATTCATGTTTGTGCTTAGCAATCTAATTAGCCACTTAACCTAGATTAGAGAGGAAAACCTCCCTTCCAAGGGAGACTCAATTGAGTTGGTATTCTTAGGGATTTTTAAATCTCCTAACTAGGTTAATTTAGCCCAAACCTCAATGTTGGATTAAGCAATTTGGTTAAGCGCAATTGAGCCGTCCAACCCTTGGGTTGAGTGAGGGAGTAATTCAACCATTGATTGCATAAACCAAGAGGTCCGAGTGACATTCTATAATGTATTCCTCAGTTTAGCAATCGTGAGTGTTGTCTACGACCATATTTTCATCCCCTAGCGGTTCGCGATCACCCTTCCCTTAGCAATCGTTTCAATTCACATACCATGGTAGTAGTAGGGGGAAGCGACACCTGAGTGATCCTTCTCACAAAAGAGCTTTCAAAACCATTCACTTTTGTCTTGCTTTATTTTAATTAGCAAACTTTTCAACCAAAACCTTGTTGCTAGATAATGATTCGAATGACTGAAGTAGGGGTACACGGACCGGCCCGGGTCTATATTTAAACATACTTATCCTGTACTACACCCGACTAAGGTTTATACTTGGACCTTAGGCAAGAATTTATTGTGGTATTCGGGCCTAGTCATGTTTTTGGCGCTGTTGCCCGGGATCAATGATCTGTTATCTTGAAAAAGTTGTCTGGTGTTAATCTAGCTTTTAATTTCCAGTTTTGAAAGTGTGTGTGCTTTGCTTGTGCTAGACTTGTTGTTTTTTTTTCTGCTTGTGTGTAGGTGGTGCATGACCCGGAGTAACTCGACACCTTTGCTACCACTTGACGAGGACATAAACTGAACTCTCCGGCTCCTAGCAAGGGAGAGAGAGCTAGCGGAGGCAAGGAGAATGAGTGAAGGAAGGGGACAACAATTGGGTCCCGGTGTTAGTGGAGAAGAAGTTGAACAAGTGGAAGTTGAACCCATTGTCGGAGTAGAAATGGTGGAGAACCAAAGAAAAGATGGAGCCGCCCAAGCTCGTCAGCTAAACGATGCGGCGGAGGAAGAGGAAGCCCTGAGGACAGTGGGGTACTATATAGCCCCATGCCCGGCGGACATTCAATCGCCGATCCTACACCCTCCCGTGGCGGCAAACAATTTCGAGATCAAGTCGGCTTTAATGACTATGATACAGAGCAATGCTTTGTTCCATGGCCTTGAGAGCGAGTCACCAAGAGAGCACGTGCATAGATTCTTGGAGCTCCCGGGGAGCTTGAAAATCAATGGTGTGCCGACCGTAACTTTGCAATTAAGGTTTTTCCCCCATTCACTTTCGGGGAAAGCACTTAGGTGGCTAAACAATTGCCCACCTCGTTCAATCACCTCATGAGATGACCTCCTCAACAAGTTTATGACTTGCTCACTACAAGATAAATACCGTTCGGCGACCATGAAATATGGTCGCGAAAACAAGGAAAATGGTCATCTAAATGTATCGCGCCACTCTCTTTGGTCGCCACGAGTGGTCGTATATACGCCGTCGTCTTAGGTTAATGCGACCATGTACGAGATTGGTCGCCAAAAATATCACCATTAGCGACCATAAATAGTGGTCGCGGAATGTTAATCTCTTGCGACCATTTCTTTCTGGTCGCCTCAAATCAGTTATCGGCGACAAATTATTATGGTCGCTGAATTACGTTTCTTTTCACGACCAGTAATAATGGTTGTCTATGTCTTTATTTGACCATTTGGTTTTGATCGTAATTGTTGTGAAAGGCAGAAATCATACATAATTGTTTGTCCCTTGGAAGAGAACAAATCTTATTGTATACTCAAATGTAAATGGAATAGTATGATCACAAAAATAGTAGTTTCACTAACAAATATCATGTATTTTATACATCATTGATCAATAAAAATTTCAAACTCTTTCACCTAACACACTTGACTAGGACCATAGCCAATCAAAAATAGTATTCTCAATAGTATGATTACCTAACTAATCAAGGCAAGTTTCTCAATTTTTTCGCATTGGACATACCAGCTTTTAGCACTTCCCAAATGTTCACCTCATGAGATGATCTCCTCAACAAGTTTATGACTTGCTAGCTACTGCCCACCTTCGAAGATGGCGGAGTGGAGAAAGAAGATTACCCATTTCGAGCAAGTACAGGACGAGACCTTGAGGGACGCTTGGGAGAGGTACTCTTGTTATTTTCCTTAGTGCCCTCACCACGAGTTTGAAGAACAGTTTCGGATTGAAACCTTCTACGGAGGTTTAATCCAAGAAGACAAAATTCTCATTGACTCCTTGTGTCAAGGAAAATTGATGAATATGGCTCCGCACCATGTAACCGAGCTACTTGAAGACATGGCCCTCAGGGGGTACGACTGGGGATTGACTAGAAGTGGGAGGAGAAGCAATGATAGGGGAGAGAGAAGCATGGGAGCGAGCGCTCTGCTTGAGGCGAAGTTTGATAAGTTGATATAGGTAATGCTTGAAGATAAGAGGCAAGGAAAAAGGTCGGTGATGTCGTGCAACTAGTGTTCGAGCACTAGCCATGAGATGGCGGAGTGTCAGGCAACGTAGGAGGCAACCACTCCGGAGGAACAAGTCAACTTTGTGGCAAATGCTAGGGCTAACAACCCGTATAGCAATACTTATAATTCCGGATGGAGGAACCACCCCAATTTTGCTTGGTCATCACCTACTAATCTTAGGCCCCCGGGTTTTCAAGGTGCCACGGGAAATTATCAACCTTGGCCGACCTTTATCCAACAAAGGCATCAATTCAAAGCTCAAGCTTTTAACAACCGTACCAAGCAGAAGGTGGCCTAGGGTTTCAACCTCAACAACAAGCCGCCAAGCTATCTAAGCTTGAAGACCTAGTAAACACATTTGTGAGTACGAGTACCCAAAATTTCGAGAAGATAGAGCAATTTATGGATGTGGCAACTACCAAGTTTACCTCGGTAGAGGCGGAACTGCGAAGCCACCAAGCGAGCATCCAAAGTTTGGAGGTGCAAATAGGCAAACTTGCCATCATCCTCACCGAGAGACCAAAGGAAGCCCTACCTTCCCAAACCTTGGTGAACCCCATGGATCATGTCGGGGTGAATTCAATTCAAGTGGGGAGTGTGAAGGTGACTCCGGAAGTCGCCATCAAAGAAGTGATTGAGAAGGAAGATACCAACCCAAAGGATGGAGAGAAGAAGCCCTCGAGAAGAGAGAGGAAGGCAGCAAAGAAGGCATCGTCGGTGAGTGGGTACACCCCGCCTCTTCCTTACCCCACGAGGATGTACAAGGATAGGTTGGAGAACGAGTGTGGAGGTTTCATGGAAATGCTCCGCAACCTCCGCCTCAATATCCCTTTCCTTGAAGCCACGGCTTAAATGCCAAGATATGCCAAGTACCTCAAAGGATTCCTCGTCAAGAAGCCAAACCTTAAAGGCCTCGCCAACGTGACTCTTGGCGAAGAGTGTTCGGTTACCTCCTCAATCGCTTGCCCAAAAAAAGGTCCGACCTAGGTAGCATTACTATCCCTCTTGATATTGGTAACCATCATATAGACAATGCCTTGACGGACCTAGGAGCTAGTGTTAATGTGATGCCCTACAAGCTTTTCAAAAAGTTAGAAGTAGGTGAACTTAAGACCACTAAGCTTAGCATCACCTTAGCCGACCGTTCGATCATTAGCTCGAGAGGTATTGTGGAGGACTCGGATATGCCACTCAGTCTTGGTTGTCCCTTCCTC